TACTCCCAAGACTGGTGGGTAACACTGAAGTTAAGCTCCCCAACCAGTCATAAACTCTGCTTCTGATCCCCACACTGGTTTTCAATGAGCCCCCTCTTGCATTCCAGTTCTCTGGCTCCCAGTCAGCATCTAAGTCCAGTATAGTGCGAAGTTATTTTAAAACTCTGCTCGCTATACAAAATGTTCTTCTGAACTCAAAGCGCCAGCCACATTGCCAGGTCAATATTAGGTTAGATCTTACCCAAAATACCATGCTGCCAGCCAATCCTTTAGTAGCTAAAACTAAAGATTTATTATAAAGAAAAAAGAAAGAACAAGAGAGTTGTTAAATGGTAAAGCAATCACATACGTACAAAGACTTCAAAGTCCATATATCAGGATCTTAGCAGTATTGGTGAGTTTGCTGGCTTGAAAGTACCTCTGGAACACAATCACAGCTTGGATGGGTCATTCAGTCCTTTATTTAGAGCTTCAGTTTGTAGAAAAGTTACTACAGAGGTAGGAAGCAGGTTTGAAGACAAAATGGAGATGATGCAACTGACTTTTATCTTCTTTTGCCGTGTGGCTTGTACTTCCTGTGTCCCCAAACACAAGCTTTACAGCACATGGCATTGAAAGGCCTCAGAATTCTGTTCATAAGCATTCCCCCTCCTGTCTTGCTGATCCTTGATGGGCTATCAAGCAGGCCTACTGCTGATGCCAATTTGTCTGGGGGTGTCATCCAGAAACAGAGCACAAGTTTGGAAATACAGATGTACTGTACATACTTATAATTTACAATACAAAGGTGATACAAACATATAAACAAGATTATCATAGTAGACAAATTATAACATTTTTGCAGATATGTCACATAGCATATCTGGTCAGATTCCTTGCAATTTTATAGTACTGGTATCAATAATATCACAAAGTGTCCCACATATTCCATACAGCGTCACAGCCTGTAATTTCTTAACTAGCTAGATGCAGAGGCAAGAGAAGAGGGGAAAAATTAAAGTCATAGGTTAAGAGCCAAAAGCGAATGTAGTGATGTGCACACTTGGGATTCACAGAATCATACAAATTAGATGGGAAGACCTGATGAGTTCAAGTAATCTGGGGATTCATCTCCTCTGGTTCAGGACCCCCAAGGAGTGTCATGAATGGGCATCAGGAGTCGCAACCACCATGCCCTTTGTGTGTTGCTAAATGGAAATGGGTCCAGCTGAATCCCAGCTAGATGGGTTGGGGGTCCCATGGAAAGTGAGGTCCTGCTATGGAAAAGCTTGAGAATGACTGAACTAGTCCATTTCCCTGCCATTTCAGGGTTGGTCTCCATCCAGGGTGGACAAGACCAGAATTGTACCAGGGAAACACTCCCTGGACTTGAAGAGCTAGCTGGACCACTGAACTGCCCTCCCTTTAGTGAAAGTAGTGTGAAGTCTCAGCATCTTGCTTGACTTATCACTAACCCTGGATGGACATGTAATATCATGTTTCTGTTCTGTGCTTCAGTTTCCCTCTCTGTAAAATAGGGATAATGATACTTACCTCCCTTTGTAAAGTGCTTTGAGATCTACTGGTGAAAAGTGCTATATAAGAGCTGGGCATTATTATTTTCAGTAGTGAACAATATCATCATTTACTTCCAGCTGGCTGGGAGACTTCCCAGCCCTCCCAGAAAAGGATCCAGCCACAGAGACCCATGCACTTTTCACCTCCAAGCTGGATTACTGTAACTCACTGTATCTGGGCCAGGTTGAAGGTGAAAGCAATGCAGAGGCTCTCGTTTGTGGAAAATGTGACAGCTCACCCCTGCAGTAGGATAGATTTCCATAAGCTGTACTCTGCACCCATCAGTGGCTCTCAGTCTGCTTCCATTGCCAATTCAAGTGCTTGGTTCTGAATTTCAAAGCCATTATCAACAGGTCAGAACCCAGCCATATGAGTGACTGCATTTTGATGCATGACCCACCAAGACAGTTGTGCTCCTCTGGGGCAAGGCAGCTTACAAGCCCCAAGGTGATAAAGCATTTTCAATTGAGGGGGACAGCTGTGGAACCAACTACCAGAGGGATTTAGTCTAAACCAAAGTATGAGCACTTTTAGAGCATGCTACAAACCCCACCTTTTTGAGAAACCTTTCCCACCATAGCTGGAATATTAAAAATACCAAAAAAGAGCTTCCTGGTACCTGGGTGAGAGAAGAGCAAATGCTGTGTTGAAATCAAAATGTTACATCTGTTGCATTACCTTAGTCTGTTAGTGGTATAATTCTATCCAAGAGGCCAAACAAAGTTTGCTTGGCAATATTTGCTCTTTAGAAACCCCTGCTGATGGTTTCATTATCCATCTCATGGTTTCATTATCCTCTAAACGTTTAGTGAATTTATTTCTCTCTTTCAAATATTTGTTTCATTGTTTTGTTGGGGATGGAAGAGGAGAGGCCAGGAACAGACTGAGGTGTAAAAAGATGAAAGTGAGCCAAAGAACAAAGACTTTTAGGCAGCACAATCAGTTTAGTTGCATGGAACTGAAGGAATCCATTGTAACTGTTAGAAGAATTCTTCTCTTTAGACTCTCTTGGGAAAATAATCAAGGAAATATAATTGAAAATCACTCTTAAGGTTGTTCATGTGAAGTCCATCATCAGAGAACAGTTGAAGAGGTGGTGTACCTTCATTACATAATTAGAAAATAGGATTTTTTGCCATGTTGGTGTTGGGTTTAACAGTTGGAGAAGAGTTTTCATTTAAATTATGAGTCTTTTGTTGGATTCAGAACCATGACAAGTTTAATCAGAGTAAGAAAACTGTCTGATTTCCCCTGGCCCCCCACATCCTTGCCATAGTGTATTGCCTTGCTTCTTTCTGTACCTTTGAAGCTCCACAAAACGATGAGCATGGGCCCCTTCAAAAATATTGAATTTAAAACAATCTATTACCAGACTTCTTCACCATCACTGCACGTGACTTCATAGAGGCTGTGAGAGTAGTTTCCTTGTCAAAAGTAGACAGAGATCCTTTTATATATTTGGACAGGGAAGAGTTTGCATCTAACAGATTGGGATGGGGAAAACTTTCTAGGCAAGTGGATTTCCTGCAGATGTTGGACTTGAGCACAAAAAAAGATGTGCTGAGAGATGCACCTATTTGTTCCACGTTACAAAAAAACTCTACATGCCAAGGTGGTTACAATTAATACAACCCAAAGTTGAAAAGTATGGAGCTGATCCGCCAAAGTATTGTATGTATATTTTTGATAGGTGAAAATTCTTGTTAAACCAGTGGGTTCAGCTTTTCCCCATGGGATCTCTAACCATCTGACCATAAAAAAAGGGAGGATGCTCATGACCTCCCTGGACTTGTGTGTGACTCCCAGCTTGAGAACTCATAGCTTAGACATCTCACCAACCATCTTATTTCTGACCCAAAAGGCAGTTGCCAGCAAACATAGAACTTCACTTTCTTGATTATACAAATGCAGTTAAAAGCAGACTGGATCCGTTTCCTCTGCATCTGACCTCTGCTTGCCCAGAGTTGAGATTCTCCCACCCATGTTTAATTAATTTGTAATCCTTGTAAATAAAGGTGGACAATGCAGCCCTTTGCAAACCCAGTCTTGAGAATAAACTCTCACATGTTGAGGTACTAGGAGTTGGGTGTATCCCTCTGTTGATGCTCACTAGGGTAAGGTGTGTATTGCCTTGTAATAGAGCTGTGGCTGGAATACAAGCAGAAGGAGGGGATTGGAATATGTCAGGTCATGATCCTTTCTTGAACCATGTCAAAACTTGTAACTCAACCCAGGAGGGTAAAGAGAGCCCCTGTATCAAACACCATGACCAGAGCCATGTGAGAGAGGAAGAAGGTGCCTTTTGAAATCCAAAGATTCTTGCCTCAAAACCACAAACAGAAACAAAAGTAAAACAATGTCTAGAGTTGTTAACTCTTGTGAACACACCAGCCATTTTGGGTACTGCCCTAGGACTGGGAGTCTGGAATGTATTAGTTCTAATTCCAGCTCTGACCTGACTTTCCTGGCCTTAGACAATTCACTTAACCTCTTTCTCTTTCTTCATCTGTAAAATGAGGCTATAGATAGTATTACATTACTACTGTTGTACTACTGCCTTTAGGTTGTTGGAATGAGAACTGCACAACTGCGTGTCATAACCCCCAGACTGCTAATAGAGACTCTATTTTAGACTGAGTGCTAAGGACATGTGCTTTTGAAGCAGGAGATTTTGGGTTTTGTCCCCATATTTCTGAGAGATTCCTAGGTGGCCATGGGTGTGTTACAGTATGTACCTACCTCATGGCATGTTCTGAAGATTAGTTAATGTTTGTAAAGTGCTTTAAAGATGAAAAGTGCCATGCAAGTGCTAAATTTATTAAATGTTATTCATTAATTGTAACTTAATCCCAGAGAGACAGTGAGAGCTAACATACGCTATTCATACCACCTGCATTAAAGTTCAGATTCTTCTACCAGGCATAGTGACCATATCCAGCCTGCTCTCTCTGGGCACCTGCTGAATAGTGCATTGTACTGCATTTGTCAAGTCAACTCTGTGGTCTGTGGGCCGCTGGTGGTATTACTGTTTGCTACAGAACTTGAGGGACCAAAAACAAAATCCACCAGATAGAGACTGATTTAGATGCCCAAACCTCTGCAAGATTGTTTGTCTTGATTTAATTGGCTGAAGGGGAGGCTCCCCAAGTTCCTTTCAGGGTCACTAGAAGGTGTCTCTGTAGTCACTGTGAATTACTGCAGGACTCCAGGGGGAGATGAAGAATAGAATTAGTATAAGCCTGTGTTTTGACTTATTGGGAAAATTGTTCTCTTGCACCTTTTGCTGCCAGGTCTGGCTGTTTGGCATTTTGAAAACAATATGTTTCTTGCTGGGGGAGGAGGGCAAAGCAACTCACTTGTTGCTGATGCATGAATCTTTGCTGACTAGTGTAACTGTTGTGTGCATTGTCTAATCAGACTACTGTTTTTCCCACGCCCTCCAGTCGGCATATGCTGTGTCAGTGCTCAGAGAGTGTGCTAAGTTGCGTCCTGCAGATCCCATGGTTCCTCTTCTGGCTGCTAAGGTCTGCATTGGGCCACTGCACTGGGTAAGTGAGCTGATGCAATTCTTCTTACATAATGTATTGGGTGCCGCAGTACCAGTGCCATAGTGCAGTAAAAAAATACCAAACCCTGTGAAATATATATCAGCAGTGAAATTTTGAAATGAGATTCACTGGCATAGTAGAGCAAAGAAAAAATACAAGATGATCAGGAATTATTTCCCTTGGTAGCCTAGGGCTACTTGTTCAGGTTAATTTCCAGTATAGATTCCAAATCATTAACCTTCACATTCTAACGGCTGTGGTGGGGGTAGAGTGAACCTGGCCCCTCATCTATTAGTCATACAGCTCTGCTGGACAGCTCAGTCCTTTGTTCTTGAGTCACTGTGTCAGGCTTTTGTATTTCAGTTGCATTAATACATGCTCCAGAAACAGAGTGGAGGTGGGAGACAGCGCCCATGAAATTCTGATTATCCTAAAAAGCAGAAACATCTGTCAGTCTTTTGCTGCTTGGTTTAATTAATTGAATGAGAGCTTGCTTTTCCACCGCTGTCTTCCTGCAGCCAATAAGGGATTACAGATGGAAATTTTAAATAAAACAAAAGAGGAGAAAGGCACAAAAGAAAACATCATAAAAATCTGCTTCGGTTGAGTGGAAAATCTGAGGGTTTTTTTCACACTAGGAGCCAGATCCTTAGCTGTGTAAATCAGCATAATTCAGTTGAAGTCAGTGGAGCTACATAAACTTACACCAGATGAGAATCTGGCAATATATGTTTTTCAAAAGCAACCACATGCCAAAAAAAGCTGTGCTATAATGTTAAAGGTCTGACGTGAGTTGACAAAAGACAAGAAATATCATCTCGCTGAAGAGATGGCCCCTCCGGGTCAAGATTGAGGCCCCTGGGGGATACCATATGGGGAAGCTGCTGCTACTGCCCAGGCTGTGCCTGTTCAGTAGATAGGATGTCTCTTTCTATGGTGATCAGTCTGACCCCTTTCCAGAGCACTAAAATTCATGCACACATTTTTTCTTCTTCTTTTTTTTTTAATTCAGAAATTGAATGTCTGATACTTAAGAGAGATTTTTAAAAAGCAAAGTGCAAACAGGCAGCAGGTTATGTTGAACATTCTGCTTACCCTTTCTCATCAGATGGTTTTCAAGATTAAAAATTGTATTCACCACTTAGAACTAGAGTATCCTGAGGTGCTCATGATTAGGAAATGTCTTCTGCCTAGTTTTTTAAACTGGTCCTGTGAGGAAAGTCACTAAGGCAGGCGTTCACACAGACCATGAAGTCAGCGGGGCTCTATGTGAGCTCAGAGAGCCAGCCTCGCGATTCTTCTTGCAGGACTCAAGCCTAGACAAAAACCATCTTATACAATAATGATAAATCCAGTGAAAGCCAGAATACTAATAAAGGGTTCCTGCCTATTATAAATGTCACAAACAGATGACCATCATCTAACAGATGGATACTTATTGACTTATGGACAATCCTGTGGCTCCTGCTAAACACAAACTTTGCACTAGGGAAGGCTGCATTTTCCTTCCACATTACTTGCTATACATGCAGTCTCCTGCTATAACTAGCCTGCAGATATAACTGAAATACTAGAATGAATGAACCTTTTGAGGTTCAGTTCTGAAAGTAAAATCATTGTGATGATCTCATGTTTTCTGTAGGCACTGAAGCTGTAACCAAGACCTCTACCACTGGAATAAAATGGGCCTTTGATATTTGTTGAGATGAAAGGACTAGGCTACTACATTGTGGGAAAAGAAAAGGAACAGAATTTTTGTGTCTACTCTATATTGTGCTACTGCTTTCCTGCTAGCTTAGCTTCTTTCCTTTCTTCCTCCCTTTAAATATTAAGGATCAAATATCTAATGGCAACCATTTCATTATGTGCTCACAGTCCATTGTTGGTTCAAACTATGCACATGCAACTACGGGTTCCAATTATAACATTTAGAGGCCTAGCCACCTGATTTTTTGCCTGCGATCAGGTGCTTATTCGTTGCCTCTCTTTTGCTCCCACAGTTAATGTACCTGCAGTTTACAGATTACAAGTGCAAAATTAGAAGACTATTTGAACCTCATTAATTTGTGTTTTGCCCAGACTACATAATCTTCAGCACTTGATTAGATTTCAGCACTGAACGAAACATCAGGATGATGTTGATGATGATTATTATGACGATGTGTATTACAGGAGCACATAGAGGCCACAATTAAGATCCTTGTGCTAGAAACCATAAAAACACATAGAAAGACACGGTGCCTGCCTTGAAGAGCTCATAGTATAAACAGAGAAACAGTACACTTCCTTGTTTTTTTTTAATATTCCCCAGCCACCTCCCTCACTCCCCTCTGTGCAGATGCCCCAGCCCACCTGGTCTACTGTTGTCACCCCAGAGTGCCCTCCTTCAGCTGGGCATAGATTCAGGCTCAGTCTGGAGCCATCTGAATACAAAGAAGAATTAATCAGTTAAAAAAAGTTAAAAGGTGTCATAACTCTAATAAAGAAAAGTATGAGCTGCCATTTTGTCATTCTGATGGTGTAGGTTAGGATTTGGAAAACGCATCTTGCCATTCCAGTGAATGGGTACACAGCTGCTGATTTCCTTTAATACTAGAATTTGTTCTACCTAATCTTTGGAGTGTATGAGGAATTAGAGGGACACTCAAAGCTGTTATAAGGCAAGATCTAGTGATTAAAAAATAAGGGCCATCTTCCCTTATGGGGGGGAAGAGAATAAGGCAGCATAAGGTACCCCATAATTCCCTGCACAGGCGTTGCACAGCTAACATATGAAAAGTAATATGTTGCTGGTGTAGCCAGAGGAGAGTCTGGGAGATAAATGTGAGTGAGTCATAACTCCTTGCCTGGTCTGCTCCTGGAGCAGTCCAGCTGTGCACAGTTCTTTACTCATGGCAGATTGCAAAGTGACAAGCGAGTCCTAGATAAACACAAATTGAGAAAGAGAGGGGATGTGTGTTTAACAGTCATTTACCCAGTTGTTCCAATGGCAAGATGTATTTTCTGTGTTCTAATTTAAAGCTTATCTAAAACCCACTGGAGTCAATGGGAGTCTTTCTATTTGGATCAGGCCCTTACTTCCTTAAATGGGATCCAGTCCAATGAAGTATGGAAATGTCCGCTCTCACTGAATTGCAAGCACTATTCCATGAGGGCCCAATTCTGCCACCATTTTTCACACTGAATAGTGCTGTACTATGTAAGTATTCTGTCTGAAGAAGGCACTGCTGATTATATGGATGGTGGCAGAATGGGGAACTAGATGGAGATAACAGCACTGAAATACGGTCAGGTAATTGAAAATTCATATATATATGACTAATCACTGTTGTTCTCCTTTCAGTAAATGGGCTAAATTGACACTGAAGTCAATGGGATTGCAGGGATGTAAAACTGGGCAAAAATGGGTGGAATCCCTTTAAAACTACAGAAATTGATTTTAAAAAAGTCAATCTTACATAGTCCCCATCCACTAGTAGGTAGTAACCTATTCTTCTGTCAGCAAAAGTAGGTTTGCCAGTAAACTTAAAAAGATCTTCTGCCTTGGGAGAGCTGTTTCCCTAAATGTCATAATTACAGTAATTATGTGCATTTAAATTACATGGTAATAAAATTAGAATCAAATCATTCTAAACTGAAGCTGAACAAGTTAGAAAAGCAGTGATCAATGGCGCTTAAATAGAGAACAGGATCAATATTTAATTGAACAATCTAATGGAAAAAATATTAACTTTTTTGTTGTAAACATTAATACACGTTGGTTTTCAGGAAATGTAAGATCTGATTAATTCCTAACTTGCTGGAAATGTGACTAGTGTATTATTTGTTAAATTATGAAATAAATATAAATATTTGATTGCTATTTAGCCAGAAAAAGGGTGAAATAAGAACATCATTTATACAAATGAAAAAGCAAACTCGTGCTTTCTTTGTCTCTCTACTGTATGCTTTTGGTGCATTACTACACCCTGATAGTTTACTGTCCAGATGCAAGCAGTACTTTAATCTTATTTTGTACCGTTAGCAACTGAAATCATTTCAACACCATTTATGCGTCTGGATAATTGTAGTGTGTCATGGGGAGTACAGAACTGTTTCTTTGCTGGTTAATCAAGCAATCATTTAATTTATAGTACCAGCTTTGTACACAGTATCCCAGAACACTTTTAAAAAACAAAAATAAATAAAAATGTTGAATGCGCCAATGTGATTTAGTGTGTCCAAAATGCCCATTATGCATCTATAAAGAGATCTCCAGTGCAAAGTAAATTGAAATAAACATATACTTTAATACTACACCAGGCAAATCAATATATACAGAGCCAGAAAAGAGCTGAATACCCTCAGCTCCTGTTGACATTAAGAGCCAGATCCTCAGCTGATGTTACTTGGCATAGCTCCATTGATTTCACTGGGGCTGTGCTGATTTACACCGGCAGATGATCTGTTCCCCAGAGAGCCCAGTTACTCCTAAGATTGGACCCACACTGAGCAGTAAGTAATGTCTTGTTCAGCCTATATTAGAATTATAGGTTTTTACAAATAGAAAAGTGTGGGGTGAACAGCAAATCAATATTTCATTAGTCTAAGGGCCTAAAAGAACTGCCTCAAGGGAGCAGAAAAGTGCTAAAACTCGTACACCTGTACAGATCACTCTTGCCTATTCATAGACACAATGGGACCCATGATTAACAGTGCCCCTGAGATTTAAAATCTTTCTGGGACAAGCTATAACTTTCAGTTTATTCCACATCCATATGTGGTACAATATATTTAAAGTGTTTCATTGGCCCAAAGGCGATTTGAGGTCTTATCCGCCCTGGGTCCCAAGCACAGTTTGCTGAACCAGTTTATAAATCTTTTAAAACATGGCAACAATTTGGCCAGCTAACATGGCTAGGGACAAACTGTGTTCTAGCTCGTGGGCTATGTTCAGCCTGGAATGAGTAATGCAGACCCTAGTGACGTCTAGCCAGTCATCTTTAAACTATCTTACAGAA